TGTCTCCAGCCATTATTACACACACACACACACACAATGTTAACCACTATATTCTAATGTTAAACATCTGCTTTAAACACACACAATGTTAATAACTATATTCCCAGTGTTAAACAGATACTTTAAACCCACACAATGTTAACCACTTTATACTACGTCTTAAGTAGTTACTTTAAACACACACACAATGTTAACCACCTTATACTAGGTGTTAAAAAGCTACATTAAATCCACACAATGTTAACCAGTTTCTACTACGTGTTAAACAGCTACTTTAAACACAAACCCAATCTTAACCACTTTATATTATGTGTTACACAGCCTCTTTTATCACACACAATGTTAACCCTTTATACTACATATTACAAAGCTACTTTAAATCCACTTAATGTTAACCACTTGAGACTATCAATTACATAGTTACTTTAAACACATACACAATGTTTACCACTTTACACTAGCTTCTTTCACCACACACAATGTTAACCACTTGAGACTACCAATTACATAGTTACTTTAAACACATACACAATGTTTACCACTTTACACTAGGTGTTACACAGCTTCTTTTACCACACACAATGTTAACCCTATATACTACATATTACAAAGCTACTTTAAATTCACTCAATGTTAACCACTTGAGACTACCAATTACATAGTTACTTTAAACACATACACAATGTTTACCACTTTACACTAGGTGTTACACAGCTTCTTTTACCACACACAATGTTAACCCTATATACTACATATTACAAAGCTACTTTAAATCCACTTAATGCTAACCACTTCAGACTACCAATTACATAGTTACTTTAAACACATACACAATGTTTACCACTTTACACTAGGTATTATACAGCTACTTTAAACACTGTTACGTATTACAATTTCAAATAGCCTGAAATTGAGTTAAACTGTAATTTAGATTTCGAAGTTAAATAAATGCCGATATATATCCAATTTATGATATTTGCCAACAAGATTGATACACACTGTTTTTCTTTTTTAATACAAATTTGTTTTAATATAGAACCAATAGTACAATAACGGCTATTGCAATTAGTTATTAAAAACAATGATTTATATACAAAAATTTTAAACACTTACAAACAATATCTGGTCTTCTTTCTAGTCTTGAACTTCTTTGACGTCTTATCGAGAGTT